TACTACCATTTCCTGGCGATATTTTCATTATATATACCAAATCTTCAGAGACTTGGTGCCTGTTATTTGATGTACTATTATGCATAGTCGATGGTCAGTATTTTGATTTAATCATTTTAGGCCGAGAAAAAATCTACTTCAACTTTACTGATGGGGTTAATTTGTTTCGAATTTGCTGTGTTTTTGCCTCCCCCGTATTCGGATTGTTTGTTAGTATATCAATAAGAATCATCTTGGATTTCAAACTGGTAGTAACAGTGGCAAACTTAGAGGGGATTGGACCCCTCTCACATGATAAGGAAAAACACACATTTGGACAGAATGTTTCCTCTGACACAAGTAAAATCACCGAGACTCGGGATTTTCCTACCATACCAGACCTTAAAATTTAGAAAGATCAAGGTCAACGGCAACACGTTCGGATAAAGCACAATGATATAATACAATAAATAAGTCTAATTCTTGAGAAAGATAATCTTGAAAACATGTTGTTGGTTTGTAGCCTACGTCATAAATAAAAAGAATTGCATTTTAATCATCAAGGGATTTAATAGTTAACCGTTTTCCTTTACCCACATTCATGTGAAGATTCGGTAGTTGTGTTCCTGTTATATTGAATTATATGAAATGCTATAACCCAAGGACATAATCCAATAAATCGGATATGATCTGAAAATTATACTTGATTCTAATTATATGTCTCATAGACTAGAGAAAACACAACCTTTCAATTATTCCACTTACTTTGTCTTCAAAAATTCAATATCAAAAGATTCATGTTCAAATCTGCAATTTATTTTCTTAAGATACATCAAACAAGTCCATCATCTAATTGTAGATATATGTATATGCGTTCAATGTAATCAGTGAATGGCTGCATTTTTTCTGAAAACTATAGGGATGTTAGGTTTGGATGTTTGTCTTGGGGTTTCAAAGTTCCACCCTGCAACTATATTTTGTTTCCACGAAGCCACGAATTTTCTTTCTCCTTCGCGAATTTAATGACATTATAATATAAGATATATTTCAGCAAACTTGAGAAACGAGTAAACACTGTTGACAGCCTTGCAACAAAATAGAATTTCTTCAATGAGTATTATACTTTTCTGCCCATTTCAGATTGTGGCAATTTTATAAGAAAATAAAAACGTTTCTTCCAAATTCATCTATGGTTATACTGTATTTGTTATACATTGGAGGGGCCGGCTTGGATCGCCCGTCTTCAGTTGTTCAATCTGGAACAGACCAGTAGGACGTAAAATCCATTTTATTTTATTTGTTCTTTAGGCAACATTATTTCATAATGGAAAGTGGTATCAGGTGTGTCTAGAAGAGTAAGCATGC